TAGAAATAGTAGTATAGACTAGCTAGCTATATTAATTATAGTAATAAATATTATTTACTTATAATTATCTAGCTAAATAGCCTTTAGATATCCTTTTCTCTCTAATACTATAGTAATAAGTTAAGTAGTAATCTTATCTATTAAAAACCTAGCTTTATTAGAGTTATAGATATTCTTATTATAGATATTATACTTAGCTTTTATTTACTCTATAAGCTTAAAATATCTCTTAATTAAGACTAGATCTTTATATAGAGCTCTCTATCTATTATATATTTAATTAAAATATATTATAAGACTATTTATACGCTTAATAAAGTTATATAGCTAGTAGCTTATTAGCTATATCTTATATAGTAGTATAGATAGGCGTAAATCTACGTGGATTAAGATTAATTATATAGCTAGTAATTACTTACTCTTCTAGCTATAATAGCTTCTTTATATTAGGCTAGTAATCGCACCGCGCGTGCCTCCTAGCGCGTTAGTCAATTAGTATTAATTTCAGAACATTAAAGGCTATAGCTGTAACGGCTGAGCCCTCTACACGACTATTATCCAAACTAGGTCCTATTAGGTCTAGCGGAAACTAATAAGATAAAACTACCTTAGCGATTAATAGCTCATTCTATAGTTTTTCGATATCCTCTCGTATAAGGCCTATAGGTGTTTAATTAAATTCTTAGATTTCTTGTGTCCTACGCACTCCTATATGCCTCTGAGTGACCTTACGTCCAAAACGAATCCGATTCTTCTTGCCTGCGCTGTTACAATAGCAGCGTGTTAGGTACTCTAGATTTAATTGCTATCTAGAGAAGAAAGGGTAAGCTGAATATCGCTTTCGTAAGAAGTTAATTTAGAAGCGTAGTGTGGAGACATTGCGCGTAAAGGTAAGGTGGGTGGTTAAAGCTAGAGGGGTGACCGACTTGCTTGTATGACCGACTCGCTTATAAACTACGTTATATAAAATATAGATATTAAGTGAATCTATAACTCTTACATATTAATTTTTTCTCTAACTCTAATAGATAAAAAAATACTGTGTAATGGGCTGGTGCCCTTTGGTCTTACTCCATAATGGGATCTTGGATTGTCTCACAGAATCCTGGTGCTCTACGGCACCTGGATTCTGCTCACGCCGTCCGAACGACGCTCAGACGCTAGACCTAATCGGCCTGATCGTTGCTTAGGCAACTAGTATTGCATATAGATAGCTATATAGCTTAGGAGCTTAGCTCCCTATCGAATACAATCCCTTGTATACCAAAGCGATTGCTCCACGGAGCGCAGCCCCTTACACCAAGAAAACCTACCCGATGAGGAGACCCAGCTCGCCACCCTAGGTGTAGATAGATCTTCTTTTTCTTTATCTTTCTTCTTCTGTACAATAGGTGAATGCATATTCGTCAGCCAGGCCTCTCTCGCCCATAACAAAGGGGATTCGGGCGACAGCAACTATCGCTTACTATCTTTGCCTAAATCCCCTTCTAAAACACTAAGAAATATACCACGATACTACTTCTACTAATAAGCTAATAGCCTTATATTTTGCGCAGGGACTATTAAGCTAATTAAGCTCTCAAGTCAAGCTATAATACTATTCGGGCCGAGTCAAGTTGTTAGATAAGTGGCAGAATCCGGGTACTCAGTCGAGCACCCGGATTCTGTGATCTCAGCAAACCAAAGCTGATCGCGTGTGATCCAGGGCTGATCGCTAGTGATCCTAGCCAATCAGAGCCAAGCGCCAAGCCCATCTTAGGCAGGGCCGATATATGAGCCACACCTGATACTCCCAGTGTCACGGAAACAGCGCTCATAAGGCGGCGCTCCTGCGCGCCGCTGGAGCGGACAGACAGACCGGAACCATTAATACAATCAATTCCTCCCATCATTTTATCACAGTCTTTTATCACAGTGACCCAAAAAATAGTCCTTGATCAGAAAACCCCTTACAGTCTGACACAAGTCAAGCCGAAGTTTTTTGGATATCTATAACAGTCAAGTCAAGCCGGAGGCTGAGCTTGACTTGACTTGCTTGTTGACAAGTATGATCACTGCTGGTTTTGGTGAGCTATTGGGTGTGATTGTTGGCCTACTCGACGGCCTTGTAGCGTTGACCGCGGGATTTTATGCCAACTTGCAGCTGCCCGCTTACTTTCAAAAACACTAGAATTGAGATCTGTGATAGCATTTTATATAGCGAGCTCTCATGGATCCATATTGAAAGCGTGGTGTTGGAAAAATCAGAAGTTTAAGTTGAATGGTTACTTTGGGTGGGGTGGCCGGAAACCATATGTGGCCGGAAAGTATATGCCCGAGCTTACCCCACAACAAGAAAGCAGTTCAGACCAGAACCAAAATCAAAAAAATGAACAAAAAAGCTCTCCAGCGGGGAATTGAACCCCGGTCTCCCGCGATCTGTCAATTGCTTGACAAGCGGAAATACTGACCACTATACTACTGAAGAAGATGATCTGAAAACATCGGATGTTTGCTGATTTGATGTCAGAACGACCAGTTTTGTATAATATATACTTGAGTTCACAATGCTGGGGATGCGATAGCACTGCTATTTTTGCTCGCTCCAGTTTAGCGGGTAAGTGACGTTGCGCTAGTCGCGCGCCAGGCGTAGTTTGCAGTCTGCTCACAACATGTCATGGAACCGTCATTGTCGTCATCATAGAACGCAGGTTTTCCTTTACCCGCATTTTGACGTGGAAACATTTGTACTTTGTTAAGTATTAGAGAACTCCACAAAGAAGTCTCATACAATCTGTAATACTCCAAGCTTCTAAATAAGAAGTCCAAGTAACACATTTGGAAATGAGTCAGCTCACAGCAACGGAAGTGTAGGCAATCCTTTTACTGGACCATTGTTTCTTGTATAGATGAGCAGCTCAGGGATGCAAATAACAAGCAAATCATGCCGGAGTGATAAAAGGAGCGTGCGAAAATGAAGCATATTATGAAGGCCTCTGAAAAGCGCTGTTCAGGTGTGCGAAGATGTCATTTTCAATTGAAATAGAGTAACTCTCCTGCAAGCCGGAATAGTGTAAAGACTGCAAATAGTTACCTACTGAACTCCGGGCTCAAAGTATGAGTGCCGGCAACACAGACTATAACACTGTCTCCTATGCATATATGGCATCAGGGAATTCATCCTCAACATCGTTCCACAGGTCTACCTCGAACGCCTCGTCACCCTTCCGCCGTGTTCCATATCTCATCATAACACCTTTGCTATCTAGATACTCCGCGAGTTCCTCGCCCGTATGTGTACTCATTCCTTCTGTGTCTTCCGTGGTCTTTTTTAGCAATCTGGCAATAGAAAGGCTACTCGCATAATCTCGTATGAAAACATTCCTGCAATAGAAAATAACAGCCCCAATAGCCAGTACCTGGCCTCCAAAGATACACACGAGGACCGTAATTGGTTCCTTGAGTTTGACATTTAATCTGACATCGATGAATAGCCGCTCAGATGCGCCTGCGATTTTGGTCACCTTTGGCAGCTGTGTTTCAGCACCCAGAATGGCGAGAAGGGGAAGACGTGCTACAAGGTGTGCAGGATGGAGTTTAGCTTGGAATGAAATGCCATCTCTTGCGTTAAATGGTATTAGTGTATCGTTCATAACCACATTGCCAAGGTAGTTTGCAAAGCTTTGTTCACTCTCCCTACCAGAGTAATTTTTGAGGGCATAGTAAATGTCGTCACCCTCTTTTGCAATTCTCAACTGGTCGTAATAACCAAGTCGATGGAGAATATTTGAAACGATATAAGTTTCACTGCTGGATGATTCGAGTGGCCCGAGCCCCGGTATGCTGTTGTTGTGGCTAGTACACGTATGGCACTCGAACAGTGCTCCATTACGAATTTCTGATTCTACCTCATACCATAAAGACTCAGTGTAAAGATCTAAAGTCTCTACTATCAGAATGTAGGAGTTATAGAATAGTTGGTAGCCCTTACATGATGTTGCGCAAGCTGAGTCTTCATCTAGTTTGAAGTAATCCACGGGAGCTATCCATATAACGTCTCGAAAATCTTCGAAGTCATTAAATGTGTTATTCAGGATGTTCTCAAATGCTTCAGTGTCGATAACATCGCCTAGATAAATGGGTTATAGTCAGTACTCTTGGAGGATACCCAAGTGCAGAGTTGTACTAACCATAATTTACGTCCCTCTCCTGGCTTTTGAGTAGCGACACAGTTCCTCCAAAACACCTGGACGAACTGTGAACTACACTGGTCATGGATGGTGTAGTTTCCCCATCGCGGTACTCTTTCAAATAGTACGAGTAAGTTACATTTCCTCCCTCAATTGCACGATTCAAGCCACGTCCATTTATATTTGTCATATTATAAGTCGAGGAGTTCTTGAAATCGAAGTCGCGACCTGGCACGTTTCAAAGGCCTATTGTTGCGTACTGCGACATTTGTCCTGTACTTGTTATTACTCACGCACTTTCACCAACATAATCTGCTACTAGTCTCAGACTTACGGATATTTTGACTAAGAAGGTCAAACCCATAACTAGAATTTAGAGCGTAGTCGCTCGAGAACATAGAGTCATCAAGCCAGTCTTGTGTGCCCCAGTCGGTTATATGGGTAGGGTACTCTATCTGTGCATCCTCGTTCAAATCAAAAGTCAACCATGAGTTTAACAGCTCTAGTTGGATTGGGCATGGCTAGAATCAGATCGACCTAGTCTTAATTATCAGCATTATGAGAATTTGTATAATAAGGTCACCTGACATCAACCGGTGCGTGGAGTCTACTTGCTAGTAGAGGCCAACGAACCATGCTGCCTAATAACCCTAGAAGTGAACCCGTGCACAGGCTCACCAGTGATGAGAGCAAAATGGCCAGTACATTGAACCAACGCTTCTCCCAACGACTGAGGATACCCTTTTGGGAGAAACTATAAAGAACGGCGATTATAGCAATGCTAAATATGAGAGTAGCCATCAAACGCCAGCAGATTTCAGTCCAAAACAACTTGCCGTGATGCATTCGGCGGTTGATAGGTCTGGCGTGAGTGTTTTTCAGATCACTTGAAGTTTTTCGACGATGGGTTGACACAGATGCATCAACCAGGTTGTATTTAATAAGACGTTCGGCCATGATGAAAGACTTGTGAAAGGAGTATAGATTGGATTGAGATGTTAGGGAGACTAAGCAAGACGAGAGAACACTGAGGACTATTATACCTGCTGCACAAGGCTCGAATATGTCAGCTGGGGCTGAGCCTCTATATCAGGGTAGTCTCAGCCTGCGTTAGTCAATATTGGTCAACGGTACACTAGACAGTAGTCCCAGCAACAAGACACAGCTGGCTTCGACCAGTGAACACACCAATGACCTGGGAAGATGCACAAAATCCTCATCTGAGACACATAGGAATCCAGGCTCCGAATCGCTAACACATCATATTATGCCACGCGTCCCGAAATGAGTACATGTTGAACGGCGGACGGGATAAGCAACCACTATACTACTGAAGATAATTACAACACTAGGAAAACTAACATATCTTTGATTTAATAAGATGAATCAATATTGACATCGATACATCAGTAGTGAGACAAGCCTGTGTCTACGCCCCCACACGCTAAGTAGTAGTCGGGCCCCGAAGGATACATCCTTCTATCAGACGTAAGCTGACATCCCCTACTGTACAACAAGACGAATAGGACGTCAAATCCACTCTTATGCTCTAGGCTACCGGTTTTACTAGAACAAATTTATCTCACTACTAGTTAGGCGCTGCGCAGAACATACTTGTAACTGCATACGAGGCTGCACGTGATGATCCATCACGTGGCTTGGCACAGCGTCTGGCCAGTGAGATAACCATTACACGCATAACGGGCACAGCCCCTAACAAATTTGTAGCATCGTGTATGCCTCGCTCGACACGCTAGCGCTAGCCCTCGCCGATATGCTACGCTATATTATCACGTGGTGGAAATATAGATTCCAACTATTCATAGTTTCCAGATGATAATTTTAATCGCTGTCCAGTAGGGACGCCAGCGAACAACATTACAAAAGCACCATGTACAATGATGCCAACTGCTACATACTTATCAGTACATCTTGGCAACGATAAGAAGATCCGAGATTTCCTGGCCTAAGCAAGAACATGCGGGTGAATTGGAAAAACAATAGATGTTGAGCCTTGATGAACTGCTACAGCCAGCAAATGGTGAGGACTGCAGGACATCACAAAACTTGTTGGCACGAAGACGGCTACCTAACACAGCATTTCTTCGCACAGCAAGATTCGTTGTAACTCAATCAACTCGAGTTGTTGATTGGGTATACATGATAAGTCTAGAGCAGCTGACAATGTTCATCCAAAACTAGCTAGCCGGAAACCCTGCTCTAGCCATCTTCTTCCCTCGCTGCGCCTTCCGGTTATGATTCGCACTCGATCCCTTGTTCGCTTCCTTTCTCTGCCGCGAGATTTGTGTCGCTTTGTCATCATTAGGGCCAGCGACATTACCACCACCTCTCCCACCACCTGCTCCACCTCGTCCACGGCCTCTTCCTCTGCCCCTACCCCCACCACCTCTACCTCCACGACCACCAGATCCGTCGCCACTAGCTTCATCCCCAGACTCTGCAGGGCTCTCCCTCCATGCTGTCGACTGTAGTTCTCGCTGCTGGCCCTGGAAAGTGGAGAATTTTGCCTCGAGGCGCCGTAATTGCTTGGGGTTGCGCCCCATCATTATTCCCCAGCCCTCAATTGCTTCATCCGTCATTCCTGTCTCGCTCTTGAGTGCAGTTCGTGCTTTGCCTCTTCTAGTGTCCGAATCGCGACCAAATAGCTCGGGTGTCATGGTGTATGCGCGGAACAAAGCCTCTTCATTCTTATCGCCGAGGTCAGCATCTTCTCCTGGTCCCAGCGCAGCGGTATCGACTGATGCACCGACGTCTTCGACATCGTAGGTATCGTCTCTCTCATCATCGTCTGAATCAAAAGCTGCCAGAGCGGCCAGAATGGAGGACTTGGCGGGCGCCTTGCTCCGGTCGGAGAGTATCTTATCGGCACTCAGGTCTTGGCCTCGCCGACCAATGTGAAGGCGGGATGTATCGACGGCAAGCTTATCAAAATCATCGTCGTCGAATACGTTACGGCGCTCAGGGATGTATTGACTCGATCTTGGAGGTGGAAGTGGCTGTGATGGTGTCGTGGGAGTAGGCCTATAGTTTGTAAGCATGGCGAATCCAAAGTCTTTATCACAAGCAAGACTTACAACTTCTCACTACGGTCCGCCTCGGCAAGATGTGGTGGTAATGATTCCTCTAGTAGGTGCGCGGTAACTTGCTCGATGTCATCATTATACTCATCCAAACACTTCACAATGAATCCAGCACCGAGGTCTGGAAAGAGGTCTTGTATCTGAGTAATTATGCTCATTCGGTGAACATGAATCTCTCCGGTAAAAGCTCCGTGACCATATTCATCCTGCGTTGCCTTGGCTTTGCCCTTGTCTGTCTTCCGTCGTATCAACTTCTTAGGCCGAGCAATGCCCGATTGACGGAACACACTGAGTGACGCTGCCGTATTCTTCACTCTTGACGCTTCTGGAGCAGTGGCCTTGTCTCTCACCTTCTCCAAGAACAGCGTATTTGTGACCAGATCTGCTACTAGGGTTTTCTTTCCTGGCTCTTTCTTCTGTTCTTGTTCTTCGCTGGACTTTAGACTGTATAGGTGATCAGAAAGCAGCGAGTAGTTTGGTTTTGAACCCTCCAAAGCTGCTGTAAGGCCAAGATATGCTACTGTCACAAGCTTCTTCTGCATGGGCTGGGGTACACGAGGATACACTGCCAAAAGGGCATCTAGAAAGTCGGACCCGGTAAGCATGAAGAGACTGGCATCATTCGAGGCTCTGAGAAGGGGCGCTACCCTATCAAGAGTGCTCTCGGTCTCCTCTGGCCTCTTCGACTCCAGATTTCTGATCAATGATGTCTTGGCAGTCTGGAGTGACTTTTCAATGGTTGCGCCCTTTCGCTTCCATAAACCCTGTAGAAGTGTGCGAAGTTGCTCGCTCTTTGGGTAGACATGACAGATATCAGAGAGCGCTGACCAGCTAAGGAGAGCGTTTGGGATGTCGTCTCTTGAAAGCAGCCGATGTGATAGAAAGAAGGCTTTCTTTCGCAAAGACGCTACGGTTGATGGCAACGTGTCGTCATGGGCCAGTTCATGGAAGAAAGACGTCAGAAATGGAGTCAGCGTATCCTTCTCTTGAATTGTTGATATAAATTGTTGATCCCCTAGGCGCAGGTATAGCTCAGCCAATGAAGACCATGAGTCGAGATAAAGTTGCCATTCATCGGGTAGTATGCTCTTTCTGACTTTTGCGTCGGGAAATGGTGCAAAGTGGGGTAGTGACATTACTCCGGGTAGCCGTATGAAGAAGGAAATATACAGGGAGTGGAGAGTACAAGTACGCCGAAGCAGTTAGGAGTAAAGTCTTTATGGGATTTCAAATTGGGGTGTTTATCCTGGTCATGTAGTCATGATGGCTCATGGGCCTGCCTGACGCGCGATCGATGGGGAGCGATACCCGATTAGTCACTAGCGTCCGCAATCTTGGCAGCCGCCGCCCACAAAGTGATTTTTTGTCGAAGCGCGAGAATTCAACGACTACGAACGCCGTCGCCAATTTTAACGCCGCCCCAGTCATCACATTACCGAGATCAAGGATCCAGGTCGTGACTGGAATCTACACTCAGCACCTACAACAACAAACACTCCAACCTCCAATCCAACAAGATGTCTTACAACAAGCCCGAGAAGGACTTCGGTGAGGGTAAGGAACCGCGCATATGACATTTGCGACGACGACGTTCTCACACACAGTACAGGTCCCAAGATCCACAAGATCCGAATCACCCTCACCTCTCGCAACGTCAAGTCCCTCGAGAAGGTCTGCCAGGAGCTCATCGACCGTGCCAAGAACAAGGAGCTCCGCGTCAAGGGTCCCGTCCGTCTGCCCACCAAGCACCTCAAGATCACCACCCGCAAGACCCCTTGCGGTGAGGGTTCCAAGACCTGGGACACCTACGAGATGCGCATCCACAAGCGTAAGCGCTACAACCCGAGATATTTGCAGCAGAAAGGCTAACAATTGTAATAGGTCTCATTGACCTCCACGCCCCCACCGAGGTCGTCAAGCAGATCATCATCAACATCGAGGCCGGTGTCGAGGTTGAGGTCACCATCGCTGCTTAAGCGCTTGCTTTTGGGCAGAGGATATGGAGGAGTGTCATGGGTCTGAGTAGACAAGTGGCAATGAACAGCTATAGCAGCTGGGAATATGAAAATGAAATGATTAAATACTCCAAACCGTTCCGCACAATGATGTCGTTTATTTATTCGAGTCTTCTTGCCGGCATCGCATATTGCACGTCTTTATAGGACCTATGATTGTGGGCATTACTGCAGCCGTTGCTGTGATAGTTGCTGCTATTGTTTTGACCTGTACTACCGCTTACGGGTTTTGTGGCAGTTGCAACTGCTGCTGCTACTATTGTGACCATCATGTGGTTGCGGTGGTGGTTCCTGCGATGCCAGAGGCTATGGAGGCTGTGGAGGCTGCCGTGGTAGAGGCTGTGATGGTTGAAATGGTGGGGACAGCGGTATCAGCTATCAATCTACGCTCTCATCCATGAGCGATGCCGACTTTATGCAGAATAGCCATGTCCTCCGACCCCGACCCCTTTTGATGTGTGATCACAAATTGAATTCTTCTAGCGAAACAATCCGTAATAAATATTTCTCAACACTTTGATAAGGAAGAGGCCACTTTTCGACTTCTCGGATCAACCAAGCAAGCAGTGCCTAGTGAAGAGAAACAATGTAAATTTATCCTAATAGCATATTAAGTGATAGGACAACTTTGTATACTACAAGAGGAAAAGTTAATTTCACTTCACCACCTCTCACATCCTTTTTTCTTAGAATCTACAAGCGGAATGTCCAAAGTAGCTCTATCAAGCTTAACTTATGAAACATGAAGACTTACCAACGATACAATCCATTATCTCTTCACGAAACCGAGATATATATAGAAAGACACCTATCAAGAGCATGTCTACAGAAATCAGATATCCAGAACTATCGTCTCGCTATCTTGGAATTGAAGCGGACGTACCGACCCCGCCTAAATGCTCACGGATTATCCTACGGTTAATAGTGCACAAGAAAAGAAAAAGCGAAAGTAACACTCCGTCGTAAATAAGGGCGGTAGCGAGGGTAGGTAGAAAGCGACGTTACGTAAGGGCAATCTAACAGTGTTTCTATCATACAGAAGTAACTAATACAACTACTCCTGCGTTACTACCGTATCATCATCACCATCACCACTGTTGTCAAAATCACCCCAAATAACCATTACCCTTTCTTTCCCATCTACTTCCAATCTTTCCGCACTACCTCTAACTAGATACTTTATAAGATTATCCCGCCGAGGTGATGTCTAAAATAATCTCACCACCATGCTCTGCAAGATAATCTTACTCCCATTCTTCCCAAGGTCATCCTACCTATCCACCCATTCACCCACCGCTCTTTAAATCCTCACCACGGGTTTGCGGTCTATAGCCAAACCTTCCATCACTGAGTGGACGCGTAGATTGTCTTCCTTATTAGCAGCAGTAGCAGTAGCAGCAGCAAGCTTCCGCCGTCTAAAGCGTCTTGCCCATGGCGAAGTAAACCCAGTCCACCGTATTATGAAATCCAGTTTCCCATCCTCATCGCTCCGAGCTGGTGGGGAAGCTAGAGCCGGGGAGTTGGCGCGCGATATAGCTGTACTGCTGCTTTTATTCCCACGTTCGGCCGGGTTATTCACTTCGGGATAGCAGTCCTCCGTTTGACGCGTATGGACGTACGGGGATATCTAAGTCTAGCTCTCCGTGATTAGGGTACGCTGGAGGCAAGCTGTGGGATTAGGAAGCGTGCAGCCACTTCTATTCCCATATTTAGCTAGGTTGTTCGCTTTGGAATAGTAATCGTAGTGCGCTAAAGGCAAGTTGCAACGTTGGGCAGCTCAAGGAAGTCGTAGTGCGTTGAAGGTAAGCTGTAGGATGGGACAGCTGCGCTGTGTCGGTACTTTGTGGGAAACTGAGCTACGGCGTCGTCTTGAACGTCTGCTGATAGTCCCGAAGCTGGTGTGGTATAGCTATACCATGCTGCACGCGAGGTTAGCTCGCTGTCGCTTAAAACAGCCGCTTAGCGACGGGTTGTTAAGGAGCGGATAACATACTCTTGAGGTGACTGCGGTTAGGTTCCCACAAACGTGCTGTCAGGTTTAGTGGTTATAGTCTAGGGCTTTCCTAAGTACAGAGTGCGAGGCGATATGCTAGGGGATTAGGAATCTGACTCGCCGTCCACTAGGAGGATCTTTCGTTTGGAAGGCGGTTGTCTTCGGACGGGCGAGGTACAGCAACGACCTGGACCATTGGAGAGGAAGGGGGATCTGAATTTATCGGATACTTCTCTTGGCTGATCGGGATAAGGACAGGTTACTGGGAATCTTTATCGTCTTTCAGAAACGTTGGCGTCGTGGGCTCTGGTGATTTCGATGGTATATTGGAAGAGTTGGAGGATTGTTCACCCGACAGAAGCTCTTCAGTATGAACATTCGATTGAGCCTCTAAGTTAAACTCTTGGTAAGGCCTCTTGTCAGAAATTCTATCTCTTATTGTGTCCGTTCATTCGTGAATCGCGGGGTTATAGGCGAAGCTGATATAGTTTAGATAAGGTTGGGATGCGGTTTTTGTGTGATTAGATGTCTCTGAGGTATCCGTCTTGTTCGGATCGTCTCTACTTGTCGCGACGTTTACAGGCTCTGTGGTACTTCTTAGTCCTAAAGACGCGAATGCTATCAGTATTGATTGATCTTCCTTCCCTCAAGTTGAGCCATGTTCTTCAAAGGCAGTATAGACCTGACTTACAAGACTGAAAGGGATAGACCTGGCATCTGGCTTGACGTGGTCATCGCGATGAAACTACTTACTGTAGTCGTAGTACTGTACTAGAGCCTTCTTTTTAGAAACCATGATATTTTCGGGACTCATATGAGTGGGCCTTGATACTTGTGTGCCGCTCCTTTTGTGAGATGCTCCAGTGGGTGTGTCCTTATTGAGGGCGCTGAGGCGAATTCAAGTCTGGTGACGGAGCATCAAGACAGGTACGCGATCTCGTTGGGTTGCCAGATATGGAACCAGAAACACACCTCTCGAAGCGAACCTGCTCATCCGCAATACGTTGCTTATGATTTTCCGGCAAAGGTGGAACTTCGAAGGACTGACCATCGTGTATGTTTGCCGCGCAACTGCGATGGAGCTGGGAAGCACCGCTACGAATACCCTCTGACTGCGCTTCGTGTGAAGATTCTTGAAGAGGAGGAAAATGAAACTCCCTTTGGCTCTGACCTTCTTCGGAATTCAGCGAGGACGACTGAGATGGCCGTCTGTTCCTCGTTCGTCCCAAGTTGTGCGGATTAACAAGACCACCACGCTGTTGTCCTTGTTGGGCAGTCTGGCAATGTCTATTACTTTGAGGATGCGCAGGGCTGTTACTGGGTTGATAATAGCCACTATTTGGCGGTCCCTGTCCTTCAAAGCTATGCGAAGCTTGTACACCCAGAGGCATACTGTTGTTCAAGGCAGGTGTCATCGATCGATAGTTGAGGTTCATTAGCCCGGGGTCTAGTCCGTAAGAACCCGCGTATGCGTACGGGTTTTGGGATCGCGGGATATTAGTGCGGGGCAGGCTGGTAAGAGGCGGGTTGCTCGAGAAGCCACTGTGGGGCTGCATGGCATATGCCATCGACTGTGAACATTGCTCTTCTTGGTGTTGGTTTCTCATTGTGTCTGGCTGTGATGATACAGAGTGTATCGGCATCGTTGGGAGCATAGCGTTCGTGTCATACTGTGGACGGTTGGCCGCGGTTGGATACCGTGATACGGAAGATGGCGAGGGGTATCGGTGAGACTGCCCGCTATGTGTGCCAGATATGCTGGACACTGGTGAGACTGTCGGCATCCTGCTAGACTCGCGATGCCGCTGTGGCTGGTGGTGAGGTTGTCAAAGCTAGAGGAACCGTCCACGAGGACGTTGCCTACACTGCCCATTTCCGGCTCAGTGCGGAGCATCGAAGAGATGCCACGGCCAGTAGGAGCTGAGAAATCAGAGTTGGGTACTCAGCCTTGGGTTCTTGCTGACGTGTGACTCGTATCTGGTGTGTTGAAGGCTCTCGACGTGCCGCCACCCCCCTCCGACACCGCCTCCACCGTTCAAGTCTTGATTGGACTGCATAGTATTGCAACAGATGCAAGATATGCCGATGGAGAAGCAGACAAAGAGATGAGGCGAGGTGCAAGCAAGGATGCTGTGCCGGGCTTTCTCTTGTTTGCTTGTGGGTTGTGTTGACTGGCAGGCAAGCTATCGGTATGTCCAGAAGGAGATGGCGATGGTAAACAGAAAGGAGAGTATCTGGGAGAGGAGAGAGCAGTAAGACTTCTCCTATTGTGTCCAGTATCTCGATGGAAAGATGGTTGGTGTTGAGGATATGAGTGCATGATGATAGGCGGGGTGAGGCGGCGGAGAGAGCTAGGTGAAGACGATATTGACAAGGAGGCTCGCGCCTCCTTCAGACCTACCGCGACCAGAGCTGCTCTCCTCACAACCGCCTAGCAGAAAGGAACAGCTGCAAGACTTGAAAGAAATGGAGACGACAGAAAGAAAGCCAGTAACGTATATGTTTATGGAATTAATTCTACTTACGTCGCGTGTACTGCGCTCTTGAAATGTTTGTTACAACGTAACGCTTTCAGACACGTCCATGGCCATCAAAAGCATCCCGAGCATCCTTTTCCCGGAATCCTCTGATCAGGCGACGCTTTCGAACCATCTATTACACTGCGCATGATCGGCGCCGACCTCGATTACTCCCAGTGACTGCAATTCGCAGGGCACGACGGCTGGTACCCAACTGCCACGAGAGTCTTTGGCGCAACGGCATCTCCTACGCGAACAATACCAGCCTGTAAGGCGAATCCCACACTGCATAGCTCATCATAAGAATAGGATAACGAAACGACAGAATATAAAATATATACACTTGTCCAGTTTCCAGTCGACCGCCAAAGGACCGCCGACTCTCAACCGCGACACACCCAAAAAAAAAGAGAACGACAAAGAAGCATCTGAAAATGCAAACGAAACAATCAAGTTACGCGAGTTCAAATGGTGGGGTATATAGCCATGCAACGCCATACGAGGTTTCAAGAATTGCACAGAAATATAACGAAGAATGAAGATGGAAAGAACGGAAAGACGGATAGCAATCATCGCTACTCAGCGATAGGACCGATGTCACCCGACTTCTTCTTGCTAAAGAGTCGCTTGAGAGACGTAAAGCTACTCCGCTTGGACAGGCGCTTGGCGGGGGTCTCTTGGTAGGTTGACATGGAAGTGTGAGGGCGGCTGGGGATATCACCAGGTTTGGGGAAGGAGTCGGATGAGTCGAGTACGGGGGATTTGGTACTGCCTAGGTTGCTAGAGATGGAACCCTTAGGAGTGCTAAGGTTCCTAGTGGGGAAAAGGCCGAATTGGGCGGTTTGTCGTGATGACATAGACGAGGCTGAGCGGGGGGATCCATATGCTGGTGACATAGCGGATGCGTCGGAGACGGAAGAGTAGGCGGAGTCCTTGGCAGTCAAGGGAGGACTGGAATCTTCGGTATCTGGTTTCGTATCCGTATGTCGTGTTGGCGAGGATTTCTCGTCGTCATGCATGTTGGATTGCGATGGCTTCTCCTGGTTTCCTCGGAGTTGGGGTGTGCTGGTGGACTCTGACAGCGGCGTCACTCTTCCGCGGTCCTCCTCAGCATACCAAGTCCCCTGGTAATACTCGTTCTGATCTTTCTGGCGTTGCACACGTACATCGGCGCTGGAAACGGCTGACAGCGAAGACGAATCTTGGCTCCGCTTCGGGGTCTCAGTGGCAGAATCGGATGTGTCGATGATTTCAGGCTGTTGTTGCTGTTGGGGTATGGATTTTGCGGTAGTATGCCGTGAAGGTGTTTCCCGGCCAGAAGATGTCGCACTGAGAAAAGGAGGACGTTCAGAAGGTGGTGTGGGGAGAGGTTTGTTGTTGGCAAAATTCCGGAAGGAGCGACCCTCACGTGAGTTGGATGAGTTCCGTGATGAGGTACGCGTTGCAATCTAACCAGGTCAGTACTCTGGAACAAAACCAACCCGAACCGAACCTTGGACAGGCTAAGAAGGATGCTGAAAGACGGCAGGACAGTCTTACCAAGCTTCGACGACTGGCAGCACCACAGCGCTTTTCAATCTCGTTACAGTAGCTGCTAACTTGTACCAGCACGACGCCCAATCTCTCCGCCTTTGTGACCAAGCTTTGTAGGAACTGCGACCACCCTCCGGTATTTCCGCACATGGCGGAGTATATTCGTCCGATGTCCTCGTTCCGATATGTCCAAGCGTCTCCAACATCGGCCAGGTACACGTCCAGTTCCCGGTTTGCTTCGCGAAATACGTTGATGTCGACGAGATAGTCGTTGAGTAGTTGGGACATGCGCCCGATGGTGCGTTCGATTACAATGTTGCCGTCGAGCAGTTGGGCGCGATAAGAGCGGTCTTCGAGAAGGCGATCGAATTCGTTTACGTGCTCCATGGGCACCTTGAGACACTTGTGGCGGAACAGCATGTCCTTCATGCTGCTTTCGAGATCGTCGTTGGCTCTCTGGAGAAAGCTATCAAGCTCGTTGACATGCTTGAGCAGAATGTCGGCCACGTCGGCCACGGATTTCTCGAGATGCTGATGCAAGAGGTGGACACCAAAGACGATCTGGGCAATTGTTTTTGTCAATGCATGGAACTTTGCCTTTGGGTGCTGGCGCCAGTAGCAGCTGTAGGTGAAGTTCCACGAGGGCTCAAGGGCCGTCTCGTCTCTGCACAGCAACTGCTGCCGAGTCTTGACGCCTCTCTTTGGGGCTACAAAGGGCACATGGCCAGTCTCGCCCGTGGCATCGAGCATAGACTCTTCAAAGGGGGCCTGCATGGAGGCTATGGGGTGGATGGGGAAGGTGGCCGTCATGATGCGTTTGTCGCGTTCGTCTTGCCATGCGTAGGAGGAGGAGGAGGAGTCGTCGAAGCTAGGGCGACTTTTCTGCGAGGGTCGCCGGAAGGGAACCATGGTGATGTAAGGACTAAAGGGCAGATTTGCGGGCCCCCAGGGGCCAAGCGGTGGCTATCAGCTCGCGGCGTGGTGCAACAAAGCCAATTCACGTCCTTGTCTCACGGCCCAAGGCGTCGTCGCAGCGTGTAAGTAGAGTACACGGGCGCGCGAGTAAGGAAGGGGAATTGGCGCGGGAGTGTTTTGGCTCGACGTGGACAGGGAAGATGCTACTACTAGCAACGACACATGGCTGGACGGGGCATTGTGGGGGCAGAGGGAGGGGAAGTTGGACGGCGCAAGCGATGGAAATGTTCAGACGAGTATCGGAGATGGCGGAAAGTAGACTGGACGGCGAACATGGTCCCAAACATCCAGGGCGGCGTTGGTTCGCCAGCGCTCAGGTCACCGGCCACAGGGGAGGGCTTTGGGGCTTTGGGGCTTTGGGGGGGGGTGTGCGCCAGGAGCGTCTGCAGGTGGAGCGCACGCTTTGTCCCCAACGAGTTTGGTTGCATCCCTTAGTGCCCGTGACGGCTGACGAGCCAAAAGCAGGGTGGGGAAACCCGTCTCGCCACCACACGAGATGAGAAGTACTGTGCATTCGTATACGGCACGCTTGCGGCACTGTGCTCTGCTGTATGGTGTGTAGTACAGTGCGTGTGCGTGTGTGGACTAAGTAAGTACACACACACACAGCAGGGCACTGCATCCACGCCTGCGCCAGGCCGTACCCACCAGACAACACCACCCACCACCCACGTGCCTCTTCTCTTCCGCTGTCCTACACTCAACCCATGTACATCCATACAGACAATCCAGACTCTCTCTGCGCCCGACACCAGCTTGTTTTTTTGCCTTTCGTCTCACCCCTCACCTGCAACAAGCACGCTAGAAGATGCAATGCAGCCGCCAGCACCAGACCAGGGACACGAATAAGCAACGGCCTGGATCTCCACGCTGCCGTCCGCCCTGGGCCAGCCCATAGGTGTACATATCCCGTCCTCTCGCTGTCTCTCTCTTATGAAAAAGCGTGCCGAGGACCTGCCGGCCGCATGCTGATCACAGCCCTCCACCACAGATAACCTCACGAGCTGAAATACCCCAGCCCACACACACGCCTCCCCTCCTCCAACGTCATCAGGCCCCAGGTCCGCCCAAGGGACGGGCCCGTGGCGCGCCTACTAAACCTACCGGCTCCTGAAAAGCCTTTTTTTTTTGACAAACGCACCAGAAGCCGAACAATCAAACCCCCATTCGTGACTTTTACCTATGACTGTGCCTCTCCTGCAATGACCAACCCAACCCAACCAAAGAAAACAAAACAAAACAGAAAAAAATCCCACCCGTCATCCGCGCAAGCGATCACACACCTCACACACACACATACCCCCAGCCCCAAACCTTCTCCACGCAAAACCCTCACTTCAACCCTCTCTGCCTTGCCTTGCCAACACATCCCTTCCCCTACCCCCCCCTCCTCCTCCTCTTCCTCCTCCTCCTCCTCATCCTCCGCCTCCTCCATCACCTCGCATCCCCCATGCCACGTGCCATTCTCGCATCGGCTTTCCCTGCCCACATATTTACCCCATGCACCCAAGACCCAATCGCCGCCGCTTTAATCGTGTGCCAGGTTGCACCGGACTTTCGTCTCGTTTACCCCGGATCCTTCCTTCGTTCGAAGCAGCA